TTTCACTGTAATATGTTCTCGAGGGTTTAGAAAGCTTGCTGTGAGGAGTTTTTTGCACTTTGACCCTTTGCTCCAGCAATAGAGAGAATTATGTGTAATCTTGTAATGGTTATTATTAGATGCTCAGATTCAGAAGGAATTGTTAATACAATAGTTATATAGCAAGTGTGTTTGTAATTGTAAGTTACGTATCATCTGGGTTAGTATTTGGCTTCAGTTTCAGATAATGTGACTTATTAAGACTATTTGGTATGCTGCCATTACAGATGCAACAAATATATAGATATTGTTGCATGCATTGTTACTGTACGAAAGTAATCTCGACTCTGTTATTTGGTTTTGCCTACAGCTTTGGTGCTCCATGAAGAATTGTTGAGCATTGGTGGCATATCTATAAATAAACTCTTTAAAAATACCTCACACATTTCTAGATAGATAGATTTAGCGGTTAGGAGGTGTTTCACACCCAAAATTATAATTAACTAAGGTTAAAAGGTTATTTTAGGAAATACAATTTAGGAGAGAAACCGAATTTATGATTAGTTAGAATTCTCCAACTAACTAATTTTAATATAGCACAATCTGTGGTTTGGCTCTTGTGCTTTCAACTAGAATTTTGCTTTCTTTTCTTCACGTGGTGAACTCATAGATAGCAAAACTTTCAGTTTTTATCATATTAGATCCTAAATTTTTCTTAATTTTATATCAGTCCCTCAATCTTCACATTTCTAATTTATACACCTAACTCTATTAACTTGTTTTAATCGTTAACAAATTAAGAATATTTATACGAAACCTCTATTGCAAATACGGTGGTTGAGTCGCCAAAGTACACAATAACATAGATATTTGTTCTCTTGCAATAATTTAGAAAGATTTGAAAATGTAAAAGAAAAAGGACAAATATTGCTTTGTTTGGCTTCAATTTTAAGCTCGAAACTCTGGTTATTAGCACCGAGTTTTAAGCCTCCCGTAATGCGATGCACCGAGTTTTGTTCGCTCTAGGTAGGTGGCACAAAAAAATTTTGAGAGGGAGAGCCGAGAGGGTGCAGATGAGAAAGGAAAGAAGCAATTTCCTTTAGGATAGAAAGCATTAAAAGAGAATTTTGAAAGACTAAAATAACCTTTTCTTATTTTAGCTCGTTTGTTATTTTTGTCAATTTAAAAATAAAAAAAAACCTATTTTTGGAGCACCGGAGCAAACCTCTTGGTTTTTCCCCGCATTTTACTATGTTAAATGTATTTCCAAATGCTGATCCATTGATTGGTTAGTCGTAAAAAATTGTTGGATTTGTGAGATGGATTTACGTTGCAAATTAAGTATTTGCAGTTGTAAAATCATTTACAGTTTCAGTAACTGAGATATTTTAATATTCGTTTTTTAGTTTTTACCTCAAAATTGGACATTGTGAATAGAAATTTAGTTACTGACAATATTCTGCAGATCTACTTCCTATCAATCAGGAATCAACCAACCTCTTTGTATGCTGTGCTCTTAAAACCAACCTGTATTCAAACTTTGTGCAGACTTTTCAAAAAATGGTATGTTTGTACTGTGAGCATCTTCTACTCATAATGGGCTGTTTGGTTGTATGTTTTTACCATGTAAAAGGATGGAAAGTGTAAAAAAATGGGTCCCAATGTCAGCTTTCATCACTTTTAATTGTTTGTTTGTAGTTGTGAAAATAATGTAAAGTGATTTCATATGCTGATGTGGCTTGTAAAGTGATTTCATAAAAAAAAACATGATTTTAGAAAAAAGCTGACATTGAAGTCAGAAAAAAATAATAAAAAATAATTCCAACCAATATGATCATTTGAGTATGGACCACTTTTTACACTTTCCAAACAAACAATTAATGTTACATTTGCAAACCAAACAAGCAATTTATGATTCCAATGGAATAAAAAACAAACAAAGAAAAGTATACAAGTAAAATTGATGAGGTGGACAACAACTTTCCAAATTGTGTCATAAATACATAATTTTACCAACAGTAACCAAACAGCCCCTAAGTCTCAGCTTGGGATTATTGTCAAATATACATTGCATGCGTTACCATTGCTTGCGGTCTTCTCCATGTGTCAGCGTATGATGAGCAGCACTGATTCGGCCTGTCCCTTGATACCAATCCGTTCAAAAGCCCACTTGACCACTGGCTTATTATACACATCTTCTGAGCTTAATATTTAATTAAAAAAAAAGAAATCCATAGAGTGCCTTCACGACCTTGATATAAAATGATGTACAAAAGGAAGGAGAATGTTTGGATAATGTGATGCTTAACTATCTATTTTGTATTAGTATAAATATTATACAATAAGAATCTTTGCAAAAAAAATTACATCAATTTAAATAGTTTGGAAATTAGTGCGTCAACCCAAAAGTAAAAAATCGAAACAAAATTCGAAACCCAAAAATAGATGTGATCTATTACACATTATCTAGTTAGAAACAAAATTCTAAATGATTTTATCATCATTAACCCATGCAAAAAAAATGCCATCAAAATCAACGTTTAAAAAATTTCATGATGTTGGTTAGCTTTCACCTCTTGATATATAATTCAAAACACGTCGAAATCATTTAAATTTTTGTTTCTGACTGGTTCATGTTTAGTAGATCACATCTATCAGTTCGGATTTTTATTTTTAGGTTCCGATTTTTAAAACCGGGTTGATAGTGTCCGCATGTTGGATACTGTTAATAGTAGTCTAGCTTAATTAACTATACACACCCACATGCAAATTTATGCAGTTTCAAGTACAGATCATTAGAATACAAAATAAGGGTCGCCTTACATATAGTATTTATGCAATGACTTGATCCATGACGGAGAGATTGGTTGTAACCTTGTACGTGAGCCTGCTTACACTTTTTGGAGTATATATATCTGGTAAAATAAAATGATTGGAGATTGCAAATATGTTATAGCGTCGTACGGCTACGGTTACTGTTATTGAAACACGCCTCAATTTTAACCCCAAGAGCTATTACTTTTGAGATATTTTTATTTTAACAGTAATTTTTTGGATAACTCCGACTTTTTACGCTAACAAAGCCTCAAAGCGACGCTTTTTTCATATTAAACTAGTGAAGTATATTATTTCAGTAAAGACCCCTTTGGAATCATCCCGATAAGAGTGAGAGCGCATATACCATCCATTGAATAGTTACGATTTTCAATTTTAATTATCAGTGTATGATATAGATCATTTCATTCTATTCGGTATTTTTCGGTATTTTGACAAAATCCTTACTACAATTATTGTCCGGCTATCGCATCCTCTTTTTTTGCTGTTTGCTGTTGGAGCAAAACTTCGGATTCGTAACTAAAACCAGGAAGCAGACATCATCGACACACTGATGTGAGGGATGAGGGAAGGGGGAGGAAAGATACAAAAATGTCTTAAAACCAGGAAGAGAAACGCTCTGCTTTTTTGGGGGCCCACACTTCGTTGCGATCGAGGCATGGAGTGACGTGGCAGAGACAAAAGCTGGCCTATCCGCACAAGCTTCCAGAAGAAATGCCCACAATTATCCCATCACTTCAAAGAGTGCGCTCGGGTTGTTAGAAATAACACGACGACGATGATAATAAACAACGCTCAAAAGTAAAAGCATCTATCTCGTTACTATGTAGCCTTCCCAGCTAACACCCGGTTTAAATATCACGTTGTTTTACTTGTTTTTATAGTGTTTTTATTAAAAATAAAATAATATGTATTTAAAAATTATACTGATTTTTTATCTGAATTATCCTCAAGCCAAAAAAAACATAACATTCAGATGTTTTAAGTTTGTTGTTTTGATTTTGAGTGTGATGAGGTGTTAATATAGTTTAACATAATATATTAAATATAATTAATAAATACTTATTATCGACATGCTTATTATATTATATTATATTATGTTAAATAATATAAAAATATAATAAGTAAAATATCTTATATAATAATATAATAACATATTAAATACTAGTAATTAATATATTGATAATGTTATTATATAATAATAAAACATAAATAAACTAATAAAAATAATTAAAAAGAATATTTATAATAAATAACAATATAATAACTATATAATAATGTGCTCTACGATATTATAATCCCAATAATATTATTAACTTTTAATAAATAAATTTTAATGAATTAATAATTATAAAACATTATATAATAGTAACATATTTAATAATAAAACAAAATTATAATAATTATGTTATAATACTATATTGTATGAAAAATGTAATATGATAAAAAAATATTAATATATTATATAATAAATAATATAATATATTATAAAGCAAAATAAATTTTAACTACTAAAATACAGTGTGCCTTAAATATCTTAATGTATAAATAATATATTCATAATATAGAAATATTTATTTATATCATAAATTATTAACATATTATTCAAGTATTATTAATAAACTCTAACATTTTAGAAACTATAATATATTATATAATATTATTATTAATTCAATAATAATAAACTAGTAATAACATAATATTAACCTTATTAATGATATTATATTTTATCAATAACAGTATAATATTATATCAATAATAAAATAATATTATTTAAAAAATATAATATAATATATAATAATAAAAAATTGATATACAGAAATAATTAAAAATATTATTACTTGAAAATTATATGTATTATTTATAATATAATATAGCACATCAAAGTATAATATAATATTATAATATATTATGCACAATTATATTATATTATATTTAATATTTATAATACTATAATTTTATAAACTAAATATTATAACATTTTATTTATAATATAATTTATTATGATTAATATATAATATATTAATATTATATTTAATAATAATATTGTTATACGTGAAACTAGATTTGATCAAAAACACTTAACATGGTGTTTTGAAAACACTTTAGGGAAAAAACACAACACCATGTTGTTTTTTTCATAAAAACACGATAAGAAAAATTTCATCGT